GGATGAATTATTATAAAAAATTCAAAGGCTCCGGACCGTTTGCCGGATTCTTTTGGTTCTCCCATCCGGCGGTGTTTGTCTTGGATTTGGAATTAATCAAAAATATTCTCACCAAGGATTTTGCGAAATTTATGGATCGTGGGTTCTTTCACAATGAAGAAGATGACCCACTGACGGGACATTTGTTTTTCTTGGATGGGCTGAAATGGAAATCGTTGAGGCAGAAGCTGACACCCACTTTCAGTTCGGGTAAAATTGCCAAAATGTTTCCCATGGTAAAGGATTTGACGGAACGTTTGGTGGACACAATGGAAAAGAAGTTAAAGGAGTCCCAGGAAAGTGGTAAGGAGGAGTGGAGAAATGTTTTGGAACTTAAAGACCTGTTGGCCCGCTTTGGCACCGATGTCATCGGCTGCTGTGCCTTTGGTATTGACTGCAACAGCCTTTCGAATCCCGAGGCCAAATTCCATATAATGGGCCAGCGATTGTTTAGTGAACCGCGCAATGGCCAGCTGGGCAATACCTTGGCATTTAATTTCCCCGAATTGGTAAAAAAGTTCCACATGAAAATTATACCCGATGAAATAAGTGAATTCTTTATGGATTTGGTTAAGACGACCATCAAGACGCGCGAAGAAAATCCCACGGAAAGGGAAGACTTTTTGGCTATGCTGATGGAGTTACGGGAGGGAAATCAAATTAAAACCGAAGATGGAGAAGAATCGAAATCCCTGACCCTGGAGGAAATTGCCACCCAAATTGTTTTATTTTTTTTGGCGGGTTATGAGACCTTTTCGACCACAGTAGGATTTGCCCTCTTCGAACTGGCCAGACATCAGGAGATACAAAATCGATTACGGCAGGAAATTATGGAGGTGTGGGAGAAATATGAAAAGGATTTCACATATGAGAGCATCAAGGAAATGTCCTACCTGCAGCAGATTATACAGGGTGGGTAGAAACTACAGTTCTAAAAAAATAAAATTTAAAGAAGTGCATCTTTCTAGAAACCCTACGTCTGTACATACCCGTTCCTGCACTGAATCGTAAATGTTTGGAAGATTATCCCGTACCAGGCCATGATGAAAAATATCTCATTAAAAAAGGAATGAATGTCATTATCCCCGTGATGGCCATACAACGCGATGAAGAATTTTTCCCCCAACCGGATGACTTCAATCCGGAGAATTTTTCACCCAGTAACTGTAAGGGTCGGGAATCCGTGGTCTATATGCCATTTGGAGAGGGACCACGTAATTGCATAGGCAAACGATTGGGTGAAATGCAAACAGCTTTGGTGCTGGCAACCCTTGTGAAAAATTTCAAATTCTCCACTTGTCCACAAACTCAAATACCAATTGTATTCAATAAGGAAACTTATTTCTTGGGTGCGGCACATGGCATCTACTTGAGGGTGGAGAGAATTTGAAAAAATTGGATACATATTTTTGGTGTTGTTAATTAATTTATTTATTTATTAATTTTTTTGTATGTCGAAATGTACATCTGTTCAATGTAAAATAAATTTGTGTGCCATGAGATCATATTTGAAAGATTTTGAATTTTTTGTGTATCCAAAAAAAATTGAAAATATTTTTCAAAAACTAACACAGGGCGTGGATTTTTTAAAGATCTTATTTTTCAAGATTTTTTTCAAGGTCTACCAAAGGCGTGGATTTTTTAAAGAATATTTTTTCAAGGCCTACCATAGGCGTGGATTTTTTAAATAATATTTTTTCAAGGCCTACCAAAGGAGTGGATTTAAAGAATATCTTTTCAAGGCCTACCACAGGCGTGGATTTTTTAAAGAAAATTTTTTCAAGGCCTACCATAGGCGTGGATTTTTTAAAGAAAATTTTTTCAAGGCCTACCATAGGCGTGGATTTTTTAAAGAAACTTATTTCAAGACCTACCATAGGCGTGGATTTTTTAAAGAAAAATTTTTCAAGGGCTACCATAGGCGTGGATTTTTTAAAGAAACTTATTTCAAGACCTACCATAGGCGTGGATTTTTTAAAGAAAATTTTTTCAAGGCCTACCATAGGCGTGGATTTTTTAAAGAAACTTATTTCAAGACCTACCATAGGCGTGGATTTTTTTAAAGAAAATTTTTTCAAGGCCTACCATAGGCGTGGATTTTTTAAAGAAAAATTTTTCAAGGCCTACCATAGGCGTGGATTTTTTAAAGAAACTTATTTCAAGACCTACCATAGGCGTGGATTTTTTAAAGAAAAATTTTTCAAGGGCTACCATAGGCGTGGATTTTTTAAAGAAACTTATTTCAAGACCTACCATAGGCGTGGATTTTTTAAAGAAAAATTTTTCAAGGCCTACCATAGGCGTGGATTTTTTAAAGAAAATTTTTTCAAGGAGTGTTTTTTTTTAATTATAGAATTTTGCAGGACGCAAAAGAATTTTAATTTTTATTGTGAAAGCAAATTGATCGGCACTTTTTCTATTTCCTTGTTTTCAAATACGTCTAACTTTCAAAGTAATACCACCCATGGGATTCAAATTAAAACTTGGTATAACAAAGTCCACTGGAATTTTCGTCTTCTCACACACTTCAAAGCGGAATTTCCTTAGCAGCTGGACCAAACCAATACTGGCTTGCATTCGACCAAAACGCATGCCAATACAATTGCGGGGTCCATCACCAAATGGTAGATATGTACAGGCTTTAATATTCTTCACATTACGGGGGTTAAAACGTTCCGGATCAAATTTTTCAGGTTGAGGAAAATAGTCGGAATCATGATGATAACTTTCCGAGGGTATTATTACCATGGTATCCTTCTCGATAAAATATTTTGGTTGCTGGGTTTCATAACGGGCTGTAGATTTACGAAATAGGGCAGGGGCCACGGGATATTTTCGCAGGGTTTCTGGAAAAGGGAAAGGGGGATTGTTTTTATTTTATGGTTATAAAAATTGCTCCCAAAATTGCTCCTTGCTCCTTCATACACTCATAGCTAAAGTGCTGCTGATGTTTATCAAGAACCTCCATGATTTCTTGCCTTAATTTCTCCTGCACTCACATATGCTGAGCCAATTCATAGAGAGCATAACTCATGGTCGTTGAGGAGGTATCAAATCCGGCCACAAAAAATACAAAGGCCTGGGCAGCCAATTCTTCCACGGTGAGGATTACCTGACCCTCCTCATCAACCTGATTTTTAAGTTCAATTAACATTTCCATAAAATCCGAGCGTTTAATATTCTCCCGTTCCCTATACTCAATGGTTTGCTTCACAATTCGCATATAAAAATCGTGGACCTCTTGGGGTATAACACGCATACCCAGTGTTTGGGCCACCTCTGGGAAGGCCTGTATCAAACCATCCACAAGGGGATTATGACGCCGTTGAGTAAAGAATTTCCTGCCCATTTGACAAAATTCCGCCATGGGATCCTTGAGGCTATTACACTCCAAACCAAAGGCACACTCACCAATAACATCGGCACTAAAACGCCCCAAAATTTCAGTTAGCTCCAGTGTAGGGCTTCCATTTTCCTCCACCAAGTTTTCGAATAGCTTTTGTAACTCTACTCCCACTTTGACCACAGTCGGGTACATATACCTCATCTTACCCGAGGTAAAAGTGGACGACAGCTTCGTTCGCAATTTCTTCCACTTAGGACCATCCATGGAAAAAAGATTTCCCGTTAACGGGTCATCTTTGGGATTGTGAAATAGTCCACGCCGATCGAATGTTGTGAAATCTTTTATCAGAATATTTTTCGCCAATTGCGGATCGGTTATCAGCACCGCTCTCTGCATATTGAAATAGAAGCCGACAAAGGGTCCGCTGCCTTTGAATTTGGTGTAGGTCTCTCGAAAAATTTGTGCAAAATGTTTGCTCCACATCCATTCCTGCATATTTCCCCTGGGGATTTTTGGTACATTGTGGGGTACTCCACGCCGCTGCCAATAGGAAAAATGATATTTCAGCGAAAGCCATAGGAAGGCGGGGAAGAGAAGAGCAAGTGTTAGCAGTATGCAGATCATGTTTTGTCACTGAGCGCAGGCAAGCAACTGCTGAAGAAATGATTTTTACCGAACCAGCAAAAATCTGTTGGACACTAGAAAAAATAAAACCCTTGTGCTCAATTCTCTCTTCCATTTCTCTGCTCTCAAGCGATTACTATCACAGGTCAGAGATGGGAATAATTATATCTTCTTTATTTAGTTGAGGTATTTTTAAAAATATTTTTCATGGCCTACATTTAGGCGTGGATTTTTTAAACTTATTTTTTCATGGCCTACAATTAGGCGTGGATTTTTTAAACTTATTTTTTCAAGGCCTACATTTAGGCGTGGATTTTTTAAACTTATTTTTCAAGGCCTACATTTAGGCGTGGATTTTTAAACTTAGGGCTTCAAGGCCTACATTTAGGCGTGGATTTTTTAAACTTATTTTTCCAAGGCCTACATTTGGCGTGGACCTCCAGAGGATTTCAAAATTGTTTCAAGAAAAATCTACGTCTTTGGAGGCCCCTTGTGGGCCCATTTGCCTAAAACTGACCCGCTTAATGAATAGTGATAACTCTTTTTGGGTGTCCAGATGTACACACGAGCATGACTATTCTTGCATTGAAGACCCATGGACAACTTAAATTGTTATCAACCAAAAAAGTATTTAGATTAGATTCAAGTGACTCCGAACAACATAGCAAGTCACCGGCTGAATTATTCACAAACTGATACCAGATGTTCTCAAAACGAAGAACGTTCGGAACCCCCAAAACTCAATTTTTTATTTTTTACTTTTTTAATTGTCATGATTTTTTGGGGCATATCTTTTTGGTAAGGTGTTGAGTCAGCTGGTCGGTTGGGGTTCGGTTAGATAAAATCAAAGAAAAAAACATAGAGCTTTTTACTGTATTTTGTTGTTGTTATTTATTGTAGATTATTTAATAGGTTAGTAGACAAAAAAAGCAGGTAGTTAAGGTTCAGTTTTAATCGAAAGTTAGTAGAGATCGTTGCAAAGAGCGGAATTATGGGCGAGTTGGAAGTGGCAATTGTCATGTATGCCGTAATCGGCCTTTGCACGTTGCTGTATGGCTGGCTGAAATCCCGCATGTTGTATTGGCGACGCCTCGGCATACCCTGTGAAGAGCCACAATTCCTGGTGGGCAATGTCAAAGATGTCGGAGTGAAGCGACATTTCTATGAACCCTTACGCGAGGTATATGATAAATTTAAAGGTACCGGACCATTTTGCGGCTTCTATATGCTGGTGCAACCTGTGGCCTTGGTAATGGACCTGGATTTGGTGAAAAATATTTTAATTAAAGATTTTCAACATTTCGAAAATCGTGCTGTTTTCCATAATGCCAAAGATGATCCCCTAACGGGTCACCTGTTCAATTTGGAGGGGTCGCTGTGGAAGAATTTGCGTACAAAGCTCTCGCCTACCTTTACATCGGGAAAAATGAAACAAATGTTCCCCTTGGTGGTCCAAGTGGCCAATGACTGCCGCGAGGTATTGGACGATATGCTGAGGGTGTCCAAAGAAGTAGATGTCAAGGAATTGATGGCCCGCTATACCACCGATGTGATTGGTACCTGTGCCTTTGGCTTGCAATGCAATAGCCTTAAAGACCCTGAGGCGGAATTTAGGGTTATGAATAGAGAAATGTTCACCAAATTCCGTCATCCCAAAATTGTGCATGCTTTCATGCATACCTTTCCAGCATTGGCGAAACGGTTGCGAATGCGTGAAATGTTAAATGAAACCGATAAATTCTATTTTCGCATTGTTCGGGAAACGGTGGAATATCGCGAGAAGAACAATGTGAAACGTAATGATTTCATGAATATGATGATTGAAATGAAAAATTCGAAAAACGAATCGGAACGTTTGAATATGCGGGAAATCACAGCAAATGCTTTTCTATTTTTCGTGGCTGGATTTGAGACATCCTCAACCACCCTGTCCTTTGCTCTCTATGAATTGGCCAAGAATCAAAGGGTCCAAGATAAGCTAAGGCAGGAGATATGTGACACTTTGGAGAAATATCAAGGGGAAATTACCTATGAAGCTACCCAGGAAATGAAATACTTGGAACAGGTTATAATGGGTAAGAAGAAGCTAATCAGGAGACCTTTAAAAGTTATTTAAAAAATATTTCTTCCTTTTTCAGAAACTCTACGCAAATACTCTGTCCTGCCTCAACTGCAACGCCGCGCTGAGGTTGATTACCCCACCGATATACCCGGCTATGTAATACGCAAGGGTACTCTTGTTTACATCCCCGTCGATGCCATACAACATGATCCGGAAATTTATCCCGAACCTGAGAAATTCCGTCCCGAACGTTTCGAGCCGGAGGAAATGCAACAACGTCACTCCATGGCTTGGCTGCCATTTGGTGATGGTCCCCGTAATTGTATCGGCATGCGTTTTGGTAAAATGCAAGTTCGTGTTTTGTTAATATCGCTACTGAGAGATTATCGTTTTACGTTGGGCGCCAAGACACCAAATACATTGCCCATCAATGTTTCACTGCCGTTGATAACACCGGATAAGGAGGTTCTGCTTAATGTCGAGAAGTGTTGAAATTTAAATGAAATAAATTATGAGTTTCTTTTTTTCGAAAACGTGTGAAAGTGTAACGCCTATGGTAGGCCTTGAAAAAATATTCTTTAAAAAATCCACGCCTATGGTTGGCCTTGAAAAAATATTCTTTAAAAAATCCACGCCTATGGTTGGCCTTGAAAAAATATTCTTTAAAAAATCCACGCCTATGTTAGGCCTTGAAAAAATATTCTTTAAAAAATCCACGCCTATGGTAGGCCTTGAAAAAATATTCTTTAAAAAATCCACGCCTATGGTAGGCCTTGAAAAAATATTCTTTAAAAAATCCACGCCTATGGTAGGCCTTAAAAAATATTCTTTAAAAAATCCACGCCTATGGTAGGCCTTGAAAAAATATTCTTTAAAAAATCCACGCCTATGGTAGGCCTTGAAAAAATATTCTTTAAAAAATCCACGCCTATAGTAGGCCTTGAAAAAATATTCTTTAAAAAATCCACGCCTATGGTAGGCGTTGAAAAAATATTCTTAAAAAAATCCACGCCTATGGTAGGCCTTGAAAAAATATTCTTTAAAAAATCCACGCCTATGGTAGGCATTGAAAAAATATTCTTTAAAAAATCCACGCCTATGGTAGTCCTTGAAAAAATATTCTTTAAAAAATCCACGCCTATGGTAGGCCTTGAAAAAATATTCTTTAAAAAATCAACGCCTCTGGTAGGCCTTGAAAAAATATTCCTTAAAAAATCCACGCCTTTGGTAGGCCTTGAAAAAATATTCTTTAATAAATCCACGCCTTTGGTAGGCCTTGAAAAAATATTCTTTAATAAATCCACGCCTTTGGTAGGCCTTGAAAAAATATTCTTTAATAAATCCACGTTGGGAAAAATATTCTTTAATAAATCCACGCCTTCTCAGGCCTTGGGAAAAATATTCTTTAAAAAATCCACGCCTATGGTAGGCCTTGGGAAAAATATTCTTTAATAAATCCACGCCTTCTCAGGCCTTGGGAAAAATATTCTTTAAAAAATCCACGCCTATGGTAGGCCTTGGGAAAAATATTCTTTAATAAATCCACGCCTTCTCAGGCCTTGGGAAAAATATTCTTTAAAAAATCCACGCCTATGGTAGGCCTTGGGAAAAATATTCTTTAATAAATCCACGCCTTCTCAGGCCTTGGGAAAAATATTCTTTAATAAATCCACGCCTTCTCAGGCCTTGGGAAAAATATTCTTTAATAAATCCACGCCTTCTCAGGCCTTGGGAAAAATATTCTTTAATAAATCCACGCCTTCTCAGGCCTTGGGAAAAATATTCTTTAATAAATCCACGCCTTCTCAGGCCTTGGGAAAAATATTCTTTAATAAATCCACGCCTTCTCAGGCCTTGGGAAAAATATTCTTTAATAAATCCACGCCTTCTCAGGCCTTGGGAAAAATATTCTTTAATAAATCCACGCCTTCTCAGGCCTTGGGAAAAATATTCTTTAATAAATCCACGCCTTCTCAGGCCTTGGGAAAAATATTCTTTAAAAAATCCACGCCTTCTCAGGCCTTGGGAAAAATATTCTTTAATAAATCCACGCCTTCTCAGGCCTTGGGAAAAATATTCTTTAATAAATCCACGCCTTCTCAGGCCTTGGGAAAAATATTCTTTAATAAATCCACGCCTTCTCAGGCCTTGAAAAAATATTCTTTAAAAAATCCACGCCTATGGTAGGCCTTGAAAAAAATCTTGAAAAAATCCACGCCTATGGTAGGCCTTGAAAAAATATTCTTTAAAAAATCAACGCCTCTGGTAGGCCTTGAAAAAATATTCCTTAAAAAATCCACGCCTTTGGTAGGCCTTGAAAAAATATTCTTTAAACAATCCACGCCTTTGGTAGAACTTGAAAAAAAAGATCTTTAAAAAATCCATGCCCTGTGTTAGTCTTTTAAAAAATATTTTCAATTTTTTTTTTTTTTTTTTTTTTTTGGATACACAAAAACTTCAAAATCTTTCAAATATGATCTCATGCCACACAAATTAATTTCGCATTGAACAGATGTACATAATTAAATTAACAACACCAAAAATATGTATCCAATTTTTTCAAATTCTCTCCACCCTCAAGTAGATGCCATGTGCCGCACCCAAGAAATAAGTTTCCTTATTGAATACAATTGGTATTTGAGTTTGTGGACAAGTGGAGAATTGGAAATGTTTGACGAGTGTGGCCAAAACCAAAGCCGTTTGCATTTCACCAAATCGTTTGCCAATGCAGTTACGTGGTCCCTCTCCAAAAGGCATATAGACTACAGATTCCCGGCTCTTACAGTTATCGGGTGAAAAATTCTCCGGATTAAAGTCATCCGGTTGGGGGAAAAATTCTTCATCACGTTGTATGGCCAACACGGGGATCAGGACATTCATTCCCTTTTTAATGAGATATTTTTCATCGTGTCCGGGCACAGGATAATCTTCCAAGCATTTGCGATTTAAAACAGGAACGGGTATGTAGAGGCGCAGGGTTTCTAGAAAGACAAACTTTTTTAAATTTGAATTTTTTAGAATTGTAGTTTCTACCCACCCTGTATAACCTGCTGCAGATACGGCATTTCCTTGATACTCTCATAGGTGAAATTCTTTCCATATTTCTCCCACACCTCCGTATTCTCCTGGCGCAAACGATTTTGTATCTCCTGCTGTCTGGCCAATTCGTAGAGGGCAAATCCCACCGTGGTCGAGGAGGTCTCATAACCCGCCAAGAAAAATAAAACAATTTGGGCGGCAATTTCTTCCAGGGTCAGGGATTTCGATTCTTCCCCATCTTCTGTTTTAATTTGATTACCCTCGCGTAACTCCATTAGTAGAGCCAAAAAGTCATCCCTTTCCGTGGGATTTTCTTCTCGAGTTTTAATGGCCGTTTTCACCAGGTCCATGAAAAACTCACTTATTTCATCGGGTATAACCTTCATGTGGAACTTTTTCACCAAATCGGGGAAATTAAAGGCCAAAGCATTACCCAGCTGGCCATTGCGCGGTTCACTAAACAAACGCTGGCCCATTATGTGGAATTTGGCCTCGGGATTCGAAAGGCTGTTACAGTCAATACCAAAGGCACAGCAGCCGATGACATCGGTACCAAAGCGGGCCAACAGGTCTTTAAGTTCCAAAACATTTCTCTCCTCCTCATTACCACTTTCCTGGGACTCCTTTAATTTCATCTCCATTGTGTCCACCAAACGCCCCGTCAAATCCTTTACCATGGGACACATTTTGGCAATTTTACCCGAACTGAAAGTGGGTGTCAGCTTCTGCCTCAACGATTTCCATTTCAGCCCGTCCAAGAAAAACAAATGTCCCGTCAACGGGTCATCTTCTTCATTGTGAAAGAACCCACGATCCATAAATTTCGCAAAATCCTTGGTGAGGATATTTTTGATTAATTCCAAATCCAAAACAAATACGGCGGGATGGGAAAACCAGAAGAACCCTGCAAACGGTCCAGAGCCTTTGAATTTTTTATAATAATTCATCCATATTTCGGGGAAGGAATATTTCGTTCGCATCCCTCGGAAATTGCCCAAAAGCAAGTGTGGAGGTTCACATGCCACCTGCCGCGAATGCCAATAGTTAAGGCGTCGTCTCATCAGCAACAACAAATAGCTGATGAGGGTGACGAGAATGCCGACTAGAATGCCGAACACCAACATCTTATGGCGTTTTTGAGGCGTATGGCACGCAGAAGATATCGCAGTTTTCGTTAGATACTGAGGAGTATTGTTTGTTTTTGGATAGAAACAAAAAAAAATCAATTGCAGAAAAGTGAAAGCTTTTTTAGAGAGAGGGGGAGAGGAGAGAGAAATGTTGTTGGGTTAATGTAAATCAGAGTTGAACAGAATTAAATAAAGAGTAAATGTGTGGGAGCGGAACTGAGAGAACATCAACAAAAACGGCTTACGTAAAGAGAAAGAAAGAGAATACATGGTTAGCCATCACCGCTATCGTACTATTTTGTGCATTAGTGATGTAAATGTTAAATAATAATTGGGAAGAGGGTGTTCATAATCTATACTCTTTGCACACGCAAAGAGAAAATGCTCGGAGAGTAAATGAGAAACCGCCATATGAAATGGCTTACTAAAAGAGAACGCAAAGAACGAGCTTGTTGAGGCATGTAAACAAGGACACCAGTGCATATGCTTGCCCAGCACTAATCTATAAAAGAGTTGCGTTATAAGTGACTGACTGATCACCAACGCCCAGACGAAACGTCTAAGGCTAGAATCTTGAAATTTGGCATGTAGGTGGGGTATGGTGTGTAGTCATGCGATAAGGCGGGGGTTTTATAAATTCGTACTAAAAGTTACTAAAAAGTACTAAATACTGTATTAGGCGGATTAGGTGTAGAACTCTCATATTTGGTATACAGCTTTGCCAACGATAAGCGAAGTGATATGTGCGAAAATGAAATTTTGGAATTTAGTACTAAGTGGTACTAAAAAGTAATAAACATTATATTTGAATAGAATCGGTAGAGATACATATCAGAGGCATGGTATGAAGCTTAACCTATTACAAATCGAATGATGGGCAAACATAGTTTCAGTACTAAAATGGTACTAAAGAGGTACTAAAAAGTACTAAACATTATATTTGAATAGAATCGGTAGAGATACATATCATAAAAAGGGTGAAGCTTAACCTATTACAAATCGAATGATGTGCAAACATTTTTTTCAGTACTAAAATGGTACTAAAAAGTACTAAAAACTGTATTACGCAATAACTGCTAGAAATATAACTCTGAAATTGAGTATGCAGCTATGTCAATAATAAGCGAAGGGGTATGTGTGAACAATTTTGAAATTCGTACTAAAAGTTACTAACAAGTACTAAATACTGTATTACGCGGGTTAGGTGTAGAACTCTCACATTTGGTATACAGCTTTGCCAACGATAAGCGAAGTGGTATGTGTGAAAATGAAAATTTGGAAATTTTAGTACTAAGAGGTACTAAAAAGTACTAAACATTATATTTGAATAGAATCGGTCGAGATACATATCAGAAACTTGGTATGAAGCTTAACCTATTACAAATCGAATGATGGGCAAACATTGTTTCAGTACTAAAATGGTACTAAAAAGTACTAAAAACTGTATTACGCAATAACTGCTAGAAATATAACTTTGAAATTGTGTATGCAGCTATGTCAAAAATAAGCGAAGGGGTATGTGTGAACAATTTTGAAATTCGTACTAAAAGTTACTAACAAGTACTAAATACTGTATTAGGCGGTTTAGGTGTAGAACTCTCACATTTGGTATAAAGCTTTGCCAACGATAAGCGAAGTGGTATGTGTGAAAATGAAATTTTGGAATTTAGTACTAAGTGGTACTAAAAAGTAATAAACATTATATTTGAATAGAATCGGTAGAGATACATATCAGAGGCATGGTATGAAGCTTAACCTATTACAAATCGAATGATGTGCAAACATTTTTTTCAGTACTAAAATGGTACTAAAAAGTACTAAAAACTGTATTACGCAATAACTGCTAGAAATATAACTCTGAAATTGTGTATGCAGCTATGTCAAAAATAAGCGAAGGGGTATGTGTGAACAATTTTGAAATTCGTACTAAAAGTTACTAAAAAGTACTAAATACTGTATTAGGCGGGTTAGGTGTAGAACTCTCATATTTGGTTTACAGCTTTGCCGACGATAAGCGAAGTGGTATGTGTGAAAATGAAATTTTGGAATTTAGTACTAAGAGGTACTAAAAAGTACTAAACATTATATTTGAATAGAATCGGTAGAGATACATATCAGAAACATGGTATGAAGCTTAAGCTATTACAAATCGAATGATGTGCAAACATTTTTTTCAGTACTAAAATTGTACTAAAAAGTACTAAAAACTGTATTACGCAATAACTGCTAGAAATAGAACTCTGAAATTGAGTATGCAGCTATGTCAATAATAAGCGAAGGGGTATGTGTGAACAATTTTGGTATTTAGTACTGGTACGTCTTGTTTTTTCAAGACCATAGACAGCGGGGATTTTTTAAGGATATTTTTTCAAGTCCATACACATACATTTTTACACATTTAAGGGTTTTCGAAAATAGCTTATTTCATTTAAATTTCAACATTTCTCGACATTAAGCAAAAGCTCCTTATCGGGTGTTATCAACGGCAGGGCAACATTGATGGGCAACGTGTTCGGTGTCTTGGCGCCCAACGTAAAACAATAATCTCTCAACAGCGATACCAACAATATACGAACTTGCATTTTACCAAAACGCATGCCAATACAATTACGGGGACCATCACCAAATGGCAGCCAAGCCATGGAGTGACGTTGTTGCATTTCATCCGGCTCGAAACGTTCCGGACGGAATTTCTCAGGTTCGGGATAAATTTCCGGATCATGTTGTATAGCATCGACGGGGATGTAGACGAGGGTGCCTTTCTTTATAACATAACCCGGTTTATCGGTGGGGTAATCAACCTCAGCACGGCGTTGCAGTTGAGGCAGGACAGAGTATTTGCGTAGGGTTTTTAAAAAAGATGAAAAATATTCTTTAATATTCAGTTTTGCAAGTTTCCGGATTAAGCTATCTTCTTACCCATTACAACCCATTACAACAGGCAACAACAACAAAATTAATTTGGGGGTTCCGAGTATTCTACTTGTCGATAACATCTGGTCATCAGTTTGTGAGTAATTCATGCAGTGACTTGCTGTGTAACTCCGAGGCATTTGTGCTATGGAATTACACGTGAACCTTATCAAAATATTTATTTTGTGGTCTAGGGGTCTTGTTATCTTACTGCAAGACTAGTCACGCTTTAGTCTACGTCTGGACACACAAAACCAAAAGACACAGTTTATTATGTGAGCCAAATTTCGACACAGAGGCCCAAGGGGGCCCTTATTAATAATTTAAAAAAATCCAAGCCTATGGGCAGGACTTGAAAACTAATTTAAACCAGTAAGGAAAGTAGAAAAGTCGGACGGGGCCGACTATATGATACCCTTCACCACTTTGGGTATATTCAACAGATGAATCCTAACAAACATCGCATTTTTAAAGGACCAGTAAAATAAACACCATAAACACGTCATTCTGCAACCGATACTAAATTGTTCATTTGGTCAGATATAGAAGCTCAGATATAGAAGCTAAATCTGAACCGATTTCAGGAAACTTAACACACATCTAGACCTAATTCATTACGCTGAGCCAAATTTAGTGCAAATAGAGAAATATATAGGGACTTTTGTGCACAATTTACCTTAAATCGGACGAATATATATATATATATATATGATATCTATATATAAATCTGAACCGATTTTCAGGAAACTTAACACACATCATTCTGGACATAATTCAGTACGCTATGCCAAATTTCATGCAAATCGAATGATATATAACGACTTTGGTGCACCATTTACCTTAAATCGGCCGAAAATATATATGGGAGGTATATCTAAATCTGGACCGATTTTCAGGAAACTTAACACACATCATTCTAGACCCAATTCAGTACACTACACCAAATTTCGTACAAATCGAAAGATTTATAGGGACCTTGGTACACCATTTACATGAAATCGGACGAAAATATATATGGGAGCTATATCTAAATCTGGATAGATTTTCACGAAACTTAACACACATCATTCCAGACCTAATTCATTACGATGTGCCAAATTTCGTGCAAATCGAAAGATATATAAGGACTTTGGTGCACCATTTACATGAAATCGGACGAAACTATATATGGGAGCTATATCTAAATCTGAACCGATTTTCACGAAACTTGGCAGACATCATTCTAGGCTCTATACAGTACGTAATGCCAAATTTCGTGCAAATCGAAAGATATATAAGGACTTTGGTGCACCATTTACATGAAATCGAACAAAACTATATATGGGAGCCATATCTAAATCTGGACCGATTTTCACGAAACTTAGCAGACATAATTCTAGACTCAATTCATTACATTATGCTAAATTTGGTGCAAATCGAAAGATATATAGGGACTTTGGTACACCATTTACATGAAATCGGACGAAACTATATATGGGAGCTATATCTAAATCTGGACCGATTTTCAGGAAACTTAATACACATCATTCTCGACCTAATTCATTGTGCTATGCCAAATTTCGTGCAAATCGAATGATATATGGGGACTTTGATACACCATTTTCATTAAATCGGACGAAACTATATATGGGAGCTAGATCTAAATCAGGACCGATTTTCACGAAACTTGGCAGACATCATTCTAGACCCAATTCAGTACGCTGTGCCAAATTTCGTGCAAATCGAAAGATATGTAGGGACTTTGGTGCACCATTTACATGAAATCGAACGAAACTATATATGGGAGCCATATCTAAATCTGGACCGATTTTCACGAAACTTGGCAGACATAATTCTAGACTCAATTCATTACATTATGCCAAATTTGGTGCAAATCGAAAGATATATAGGGACTTTGGTGCACCATTTACATTAAATCGGACGAAACTATATATGGGAGCTATATCTAAATCTGACCGAATTTTCACGAAACTTGACACACATTATTCTAGACCAAAATGATTAGGCTGTACCAAATTTCGTGCAAATCGAAAGATATATAGGGACCATTTACATTAAATCGGTTAAATATATATATGGGAGCTATATCTAAATCTGAACCGATTTTCCCAATTTCAATAGGGTTCGTCCTTGGGCCGAATAAGTGACATATGCCAAATTTCATCCAATTCGGATCATAAATGCGACCTGTACTTTGTTTACAATTTAACATGGATAGACAGACGGACGGACATGCATATATCGACTTAGAAAGTGATTTAATGCATATTCTCAAAAGGAAGGTCTATCTCGATTCCTTTTGCCTGTTACAAACATATGCACAAAGACATAATACCCTGTACCACAGTGTGGTGAAGGGTATAAAAATTCATGCCTAGTAAAAATAATACAAAAATCGCCAAGTAGGGCAGGGCTTGAAAAACTGTTGTAAAAAATCCAGGCCTAGTACAAGGCCGTGAAAAAATAATTTAAAAACACACGCCTAGTTCTAGGTCTGGAAAAATAATTTTTGAAAAATCCACGACAAGTTCCAGGCCTTGAAGAAGTAATTTTAGGACTTGGAAAAAATATTTTTAAAAATCCACGCCTTGAGAAAAATATTTTTTAATATTTTCACACCAAAAAGATGTTTGGGAAAAATATTTTTCAAAAAACTCTTCGCCTAAAATTAGGCTTTCACAAATATTTGTAAAATCCATTTCCGATCATTTTCTTTTAAACAAGTAAAAAGAGGCCACCCTGAATAGCTGTGATAATTGTGTTCATATGTATCTGTTAATTATCAATTACAAAACGATAAACAAATATTTTTTTCTTTGTTATTGAAAAATAATCTCTATCGAATAGATATCAATACTTAAAATATATAAAGAAAACAACAACAAAAATATGCCACAAATTTTAATAGATAAAGGCAAAAATGTACTGCATAAGCCCCACACGGTCGAGCCCTGATTGATATTGGGGATTGGGGACATTTTTAGAAAAAAAATCGAGTGAATCATATCAATAATTATGCACTTTGGAAAAAATTATATAAGTTCCAAATTTGGTTAATTTAATGTTTTTCTAATTTTTTTTTTATTAACAAAAAATTAAAAATTTTTAAATTTATATTTTTTATATTATTACCTCCATTTTGAATCTCCAATTTGTCCCTTTTGCTTTAATCCCATCACACTTTGGTCACCTTCAAATAGACCCCACCCTCGGAACCCAACAGAAAACTCAGTTTAGTATAACGCATTGGAATCTGAGTCTGGGGACAGCGATCAAAACGAAATTTCCTCAGAAGACAGATGAGACCAATTTGGGCTTGCATTTTACCAAAACGCATACCAATACAGTTACGAGGGCCATCACCAAATGGCAAATACGAGAAAGGATGGCGTTTCTCTACCTCTTCGGGCAAGAAACGATCTGGTTGGAATTTTTCCGGTTCTGGGAAATAGTCGCCATCACGATGTATCGAATCCAAAGGTATGATGACACGTAAACCCTTTTCCAAAACGATATCTGTGTTCGGCACCTGATAGTCCTTGACACACAAACGCACCAAGTGAGGGGTTACCGAATATTTTCGTAGAGTTTCTAAACGAAAAAAATTAATTTAAAAATATTTGTTTTTTTTTCTAAAATTCTCACCTGAAATAACCATATCCAAATATTTCATTTCCTTCAGTACCTCATAACTCAGTTCATTATTATTTTTCTCCAAAACCTCCCCGATTTCCTGGCGCAATTTCTCTTGGACCTCCGGATTCAAAGCCAATTCATAAAGACAAAATGAAATTGTGGTTGAGGAAGTATCAAATCCCGCCAAAAAGAATACCATTGCCTGGGCAGCCAATTGTTCCAAGGTCAGGCCACCACTCATATCATCCTCATCCACCTGTTTGCCTTCGGCAATTAATTTATCCCGCTGCTGTTTCATTTCAATTAACATATCCATAAAATCATTACGCTTAATATTATTCTTCAAACGATATTCGACCGTTTCCTTTACGGCCTTCATAAAGAAATCCGCCACATCATCACTAAAGGTTTTCATTCTCAGTTTTCGTGCCAATTTGGGATTGGTGAACATAAATCCCTGAACCGGACCCGAATGGCGCGGCTTCTCAAATATCGATCTACCCATTTTACGAAATTCTGCCTGGGGATCTATTAAACTATTGCACTCAATACCAAAAGCACACGTTCCAATTACGTCGGTGGTATAGCGGGCACACAAATCCTTGGCCTCTATTATGCCACATCCCGCCTCCTCATTTATGAACTTCAAACAGGCTGGTTCCAATTTCTCACCCACCTGGACCACGGTGGGAAACATAAATTTCATTTTACCCGTCGTAAATACCGGTGAAACTTTATGTCTCAATGCCCTCCATTTGTCACCATCCAAAAATAGAAGATTTCCCGTCAAAGGATCATCACGCACATTATGAAATAAACCGCGATCACTAAAACTTTGAAATTGTTTAATCATAATATCTTTGATAATATCCAAATCCATGACAAAGGCAGCTCGTGTGGTGAAGGTATAAAATCCAGCAACAGGTGTGGTGTTTTTAAATTTCTTATAAATCCTTTCGTTGATATCCTTCCAGTGATATTTACGACCCAATCCCTGCATGTTGCCAATAAAAGGCCATGGTTTCTCGTGGGGGACATTACGTTTCTCCCAATACGAATAATGTTCTTTAAGCCAGACGAATAAGGCTATCACGGAGAGTACCAGCAAGGATAAAAATATCATAATTGATCACGTTCGAACCGCTGGACCTCTAATGTCTTCGAATAAACTGAAACTGAATGAAAATACCATTAATTTTGAAACGCTTCAATTCAATGACTAATGGGAAAGAGAACAAGTACTCTCTTTCCACTCGGACTCTTCTTCATTTTCAACCAAGTTGTTTGTTTACATTTTTTCATATAACCCCCACATTCCCCACACAACAACAACAAATCAACTCAATTTTAAATTACACTCTCATTTACCGGTTTTTACGAGGGCTCTCAGAACAAGCAGTACAACGCCAACAATATAACCAAGAGGAATATACAAAGCTCACACACTCACTCTCTTCCTCATACACACTTTGCGTTGGAGCCTCATTCATAGAGGCAAATCAATGCAAACAATATCCCCCATTTATTTTGACTAGCCAAACGAACGCAGTTATGCTCCCAGTTCATTTGGTTCTCTCTCATTACCATTCTCACACAATTTATATTCTGTCCCCCACTCGTGAGGCTCACCAAACAAGCAAAACAAACAAACATTCCCCATTAATGTAAACAAGACACAGACTCTCCCGCCCTTTTTTAAAGGGGAGACAAAGAAATGCATGCCGGTTTTTACGGGGGCGCTCAGAACAAGCAGTACAATACCAACAATATAACCAAGAGGAGTATACAAAGCTCACACACTCACTCTCTTCCTCATACACACTTTGTGTTAGAGCCTCACTCATAGAGGCAAATCAATGCAAACAATATCCCCCATTTCTTTCGGCTTGCCAAACGAACGCAGTTATGCTCTCAGTTCATTTGGTTCTCTCTCATTACCATTCTCACACAATTTATATTCTGTCCCCCCACACATAAGGCTTACCAAACAAGCAAAACAATGTAAAAAAAAACATTCGCGATTAATGTAAACAAGACACAGACTCTCCCACCCTTTTTAAAAGGGGAGACAAACAAATGCATGCATTCTCGTCCATTCGTTTGCGGTAGCCACACGAATAGGTTAATGCTAAACCGAGCAGTCATTTCGTATGTCATTTGTGTGTTGTAGGTACACACACATAAAGACAAACACCGGCAAACTCAATGCCATTCAATGCTAACAATAACAACTATGAAACAAAATATACTCTCTCTCTCATTATCATTCTCACACACTTTGTGTTATGGCTCCCACAATGGGGGGCTCTCCAAACAAGCAATACCGATTGATATAAACAAGACTCGGCTGGCTCTCCCTCACTTACGTGTGGCATTTCTGTGTTTGAGGGCTCACACACATAGAGACGAACAAATACCAAATACAATACCGGTCATTCGTTTGTGCGGTAGCCATAGTTCTCCATGCAAACACCAGCAACAATGAAACTCATAGAGGTAAACAAACAACTAATGCTCTCCCCAATGTTATGGGTAGGCCAAATGAAAATGGTTAAGCTCCAATCTCACAAAACAAGTGTAGGAGTTCTCTTTGAAATAATTCTTATTAGAATATAGCTTGTAGATGATTAGTTAAAATCACATTTCAAATAGCACCTAATTAGAAAAAAAAATTGTATTACAAAAAAACGTAAATAGACGTGGAAATTTTAAAATAATTTCTACAAGATCTACGTGGATTTTGTAAAAATAAATTTATTAAGGGCTATTTACTTTTAGCTCTTAGATTCGTGTTTATATTTTGAGAAAGCTTTTTTCAAGTGGAACATTCTATCTTGTAAGATGTCTCCTCCTCCTCGTTTAGAGGGGAGTTTAAGGCAAAAAGTTTTGCCAACCTGTTTTCAGTCCGATCATTAAGCTGTGAAGTTCGGTTCGTCGCAAAAAAATGTTCGGCGTGTTAGAAACTCTTCTTATAGGGGCAGTAATTTGTCTTCTATTTTTTCTCTATCAACACTACAGCTATTGGCAAAGACATGGCGTGCCCCAGGAAACACCTCTACCGATTTTGGGTAATATGAAAGGTTTGGGAACCTCTCTACATTTCTGTGAGCTGATACAAAATATCTATATGAAATTCAAACCTAATTCACCCATTGGAGGCCTGTATGTGTTTGTGCGGAAATCTGCTGTAATTTTGGATTTAGATTTGGTCAAACATATTTTGGTAAAGGATTTTTCCAATTTCCATGATCGTGGTATATTCAATAATGTCCGAGATGATCCGCTGACGGGTCATTTGGTTACCCTGGAGGGGGAGCAATGGCGTGCCATGAGAAATAAAATGACACCGGTGTTTACTTCGGCCCGCATGAAATATATGTTTCCCACAGTGGTGAAAGTTGCGGAGAATCTAAGGGAGGTGGTTCAGGAAATGTTGGGCAGAGAGGATGCGAAGGGTGTTGTGGAAGTGAAAGATCTATGTGCCCGTTTCACAACCGATGTCATAGGGACCTGTGCCTTTGGTCTGGATTGTTGCAGCCTCAAAGATCCCAGGCGGAATTTCGTCAACGTGGTCGTGCCATCTTCTCCGATCGCAGATATCATCCTTTGCTGGAACAATTTATATTCAACAATCCGAAAATGGCCAGACGTTTGCGTATGAAATTTTTTCCCGATCACATTACGCAGTTCTTTATGAATGTCGTCAAGGAGACTGTGGAATATCGTGAGCAGAATAATATTAAACGTAATGACTTTTTGGATCTGCTAATCGATTTGAAGACAAAAGATGAGGAGCTGGCCCGCAGTTCGTGGGGTATTGATTTGTCACAGGGCTTGACTCTGGAACAAATGGCTGCCCAGACATTTGTATTCTTTGCAGCGGGATTTGAAACTTCATCCACGACCATGACATTTTGCCTCTATGAATTGGCAAGGCATCAGGAGGTACAGGAGAAACTGAGGCAGGAAATTCTTGAGAATTTGAGGGAAAATAATAATGAAATTACTTATGAGGGTATACACGGAATGCAGTATTTGGAGCAGGTTGTGGCAGGTAAGTGAAAAATATTATGTTTTAATTTTTTTTAATAAAAAAAAATAATTTCCCTTCCACCCTTAGAAACCCTTCGCCTATATCCCGTCATACCCACCCTGATACGCAGCACCAAATATGATTATCGGGTACCCAACTCTCCCTATACCCTCGAGAAGGGCACCCAAGTAGCCATCCCTGTTTATTCGATACACCACGATCCCGAATACTATAACAAACCCAATGAATTCAACCCCTCCCACTTTGATCCTCAACACACTGAGCAACGTCACTCCTGTGCCTATTTACCATTCGGTGATGGACCTCGTAACTGTATCGGATTGCGTTTTGGTAAAATGCAAACAAAAATCGGTTTGGTTACCCTACTCAGTAATTTTCATTTTGAAATCTGCCCTCAGACGGACCTGATAATGGATAAGAAAAATTTTCTATTAACCAGCAAGGGAGGGATGTACCTGAAAGTTACCCCATTATGATATAATAATGAAAACAAAATAAATAAAAAATATTTAATTCTTCTTAGCGGATTTATTTATTTTTAGACTACACACCGATTGAATATTAATGAATCTGATCTTGAGATCGGATTTGATTTTTTGACGAAGCACCCATGTTAAATATTTTGTACGATATAAACAAGCTAATGCGTAGTTCTCCAAAGAGCTAAAAATTGAAAGAGAGAACGTAAGAGAGAATATTTCACATTAACATGAGAAAAGTGTACTCTTTAAAGCACAGTGGTTACAATATATTTAAAAAATTAAAAAAAAAACTTTTTGAGATCTACTATTTTTATACCCTACACAACTATGTTGTCAGGGCCCCAAGCCCCCAGAGGTTGTAACGCCACGAAATATTGGTCCTAGAATATTAGTCCTAGTATATCATATCTCGACTAGCTGAACCAATCTAGGCATGTGTGTCCTTCCGTCCGTCTGTCCATTATAATTTGTAAACACGATACAGGCCAAAGTTATGGACCAATCTTCACGGATGGGTCCATAGTAGGGGTTCCGGCCAATGAAGACCCCTATTGTTTTTGGTAAAGATCTTTTAATATTTAGGGGATCCCAAACATCGCTAATTTTTACATAAGGAAGGGGATTGGGCCAAAGAATAAGCATGACTGTTTTGATAAGGGTCAAATGGACCCTGACTTTTGTGGAAAAAATTACAAAATTTGTATTCTATGGCGTATATAATTACTCCTGAAGGACATAGACCCAAGAAGTTGGTAATCGTCTGGCGTATGAACTCGGATGTGGGAGCTCAGAATATAGAACCACAGAAAGTAAGATTTTCCTGGAAGTTGTGTAGGGTATAATATGGTCGGCCCCGTCCGACTATACTGCTTCGCTCACTGGTTTAAAATTAATTTTTCAAGGCGAAACCATAGGCGTGGATTTTTTAAAATTAATTTTACAAAACCTTTTCTATTTTCATTTTATTTAATTTGTCTCAAATTAGCCCTAGAACCACAGTGCTGCGCTATTATTCGTTCATGAATCATCCGCATATCCACACCGGCTGTAATTAATACCTCAGTCTCTTTCTCTCATTCGCTTTCTCTTTGCTCTCCCTGGCTTATGGTTGTTTGCAAATATATCATGGGGTATGGGTAACACAACAATGCCTTTCTTTATCTTCACCATCCCAACGGTTTATATCAGAGATCAAGAAAACAATGGTGCCTTTATTTCTCTTCTCTCACATCTTCTCTTTTCTCTTAAAGGTAATACCGAACTAATCTCTTTAATGAATGGTTGTGATTAAAATTTAATCGATTTCATTATTATTTCTGATTAGAAAATATTAAACAATAAACAAAATTATTTACATCAGCCATTGGCGAGAGAGGGTAATTATCTTCTTGCTGATTTTGAAAGATATAAATATGAGAGTCGTCATGTTTATACTTGCTTTAGTTCAATTGAAGCTTTCAAGTGTTGTCCGTGTGTTTTGGTGCAAAATTTCGGCGAGATGTTGTCGCTACTCGAAACTCTACTGCTTGCCTCCGCTGGCCTATTGATCGGATATTTGTATAATCTCTATACGTATTGGAAGCGTCG